TGTCTTTCTTCCACTAGTGTTAACCATTTCTGCCAATCCCAGTGTCTACACAGATAACTCAGCCTCTGGAATTCTTTGACTTCTTATGTGCAGTAATCCTTCCTTCTGTTTTAGACTTTATTTATCAGTAACTGTATTACTTCTCATATTTCAAGTGTAAGCATCCTGTTCTCTGACCATCATTGCTTCTCTCTTCCCAGCTCATTCCCTCTAATTTCGTACTCCAGCAGTTCTGGGACAACCATAAGAGACCTCCAGTCCACTGACGCTAAATTTCTTTGTTGTGTATCATCCTTACTGTGTTTTCACTTTTCTTAACCTAGCTTTGATTCTGTGGTCTATTGTTATAACCACTCACTTTAACTCCTTGTATTTTACCTGATTAAAGCCAATACTCTACCTACTTTGTACCTAAACAAACAGATGAGACTGGTGGAAAACACACCACTGTCTTGACTAGTTTCACTTTAAATACTTGTGACCTCAAAACCTTAGTGCTGCCTGCAGTTTTAGTTGGTTCACTCTCCCATTTTTCTTCAGTTCTGAAAAACCCTCCCTTTTCAGTTGATGGTGTTTATTATTTTACTTTAAAGAAAAAAAAACAAAACAAACATGGAGAAAGGAGAACTTTATACTTTCCTATCAGCAGATCTACAAACCTGAAAGAGCAGTTTCAGGAGAATGGTAGGAGCAGAAGCCAACTTTTCAGGGACTGAAATGTGAATGGATCAGAAGAGATAGGGACTGTGACATTTTCCCAGATGTATCTCTGGAACACTGTCTTTATTTAATGAATCTTGCTCAAGAAAAGGTTTAGTGGCTAAGTAAATTTGAGAAGTGCTGAAAACTATATATAGTATTTATATGGAAAGGAAGTTTGCATTTGCTGGCCTAGATTTTACTAAAGCATTAGTTTTCAAAATTTGACCTATTTCACAGTCACCTGAAGGGCTAGATTGCTGGGTAGCACCTCCAGAGGTTCTGATTTCATAGGTCTTGGGTGGCTCCTAAAAATTTGCATTTACAACAAGTTTCTAGGTGACACTGATGCTGCCAGTCCAGGAAATTGGGGAATCCCATTTTGAGAGTCACTTCACTTGAGTAAGAATTCAGCTGCCAAGAGTGGCAGGTATAGTTAGGATTTTGAGCAATATAGCAAATAGCTATTGTGGGATAGCATAGTCAGAAGAAATAAGAGCTGACTAACAACATCATGGAACTTTGATAGTAAGATAGCAGGAATTTGTAGTGGACCCAAGTAGTGAGTTTTAATGATTTTCTCTAGCAGTTTGACCTGTCGGAGAAGGATCAGAACCACCAGCAGTTAGTACAGAATTTTGAGTGACTCCTACAGGCTGCTAATGTCAGGTCATATATGTATAAAATTTATCATCAAGCACTCCATCTTTGCTTTGTATTCCCATGATTAGTGCCAAGACAGTAACTTTATGATCTGTCTTTAACCCATTTCCTTTTTATTTGTTTGTATCAATATGTTTATTATTTACTATTCATTAATTGTTTTTAGTTAAAATTGTATATGTTAGTTAATAGGGGTTTTGGAATACAAAGACTAAATGTCATGAAGTGTCCTAAACTAATTCTGTCAATTACAGTTAATAAGTCTTTGAGCAAATTTCTCTTGTTTTCTCACTTGGGAATTTTTAAAATAAAAGAATTAGAAACTACCAGTTCTCACTTTATGAATGTAATTGTAAAGCCACAGAAACTTTTCCTAAGGAGAGTCTCATGTGGGTTTTTTTTTTTTTAATATTTTAATTTTATTGGAGTATAGTTGATTTACAATGTTGTGTTAGTTTCATGTGTACAGCAAAGTGATTCAGTTATACATATGCATATATTCATTCTTTTTTAGATTCTTTTCTCATATAGGTTATCATAGAATATTGAGTAGAGTTCCCTGTGCTGTACAGTAGGTCCTTATTGGTTATCTATCTTATATATAGTAGTGTGTGTCTGTTTATCCCAAGCTCCTGATTTATCCCTCCCCCCCTTTAACCATTAGTTTGTTTTCAGTATTTGTAAGTCTGTTTCTGTTTTGTAAATAACTTCATTTGCATATTTAAAAAATTAGATTCCACATATGAGTGACATTATATGATATTTGTCTTTCTCTGTCTGACCTCACTTAGTATGATAATCTCTAGGTCCATCCATGTTGCTGCAAATGGCATTATTTCATTCTTTTTTTATGGCTGAGTAGTATTCCATTGTGTATATATACCACATGTTCTTGATGCATTCTTCTGTTGATGGACATTTAGGTTGCTTCCATGTCTTGGCTATTGTAAATAGTGCTGCAGTGAACATTGGGGTGCATGTGTCCTTTTGGATCATGTGGTTTTTTTAAAAGTAGCTAAATATTTATTGGAGAAGCTGGCCCTCTACAGGGTTTATATAGAGTTTCTAGCGTAAGTTGCATTACCATTCCTGGGTATCTGAACTTCTTGGGCTTTGCCACTGAAATGTTTTTATAATGAGATTGTGCCGTCACCTAGGCCTCACTTATGTCAGTTGTACTGCCTTAATGACTTTGTAGTATCTGTACTGAGCCTGGAGTAGGAAGGAACCACAAGAAATGCTGTTTTGAAACATGCTTGGGGTACATAATAAGAGAGGAAAAGGGCGAATCCTTTTTTCCTATCTTTATTTCTCTCTTACCCACTTCAGTGAGGACATAAGCTTGAGAAGGGTGCTACCTTTCTTCTGTCTCTGATTTCTCAAATCTTTGTCAGGCTTTTGAAGTTAGATACTGCCTTCTTTTCACAGTGTTACAACTGGTTATTTTTTCAAGTAATATAATTTTGGAAACTTGTGGATGTGTTTTTATAGCATTACTGAGGAATAATTAATTATAATAAATTGTGTATATTTAAAGTGTACAATTTGAGTTTTGACATATGTTAAACCGTCATTACAGTAACAAGATAACATACATTTTCATCATCCCCAAGAGTTTTTTGTGCCCCTTTGTAATGCTTCTCCTGATCCGCTTTCCATCACCATAGATAAGTTTACATTTTCTAAGATTTTAAATGAATAGAATTACATAGTATGTACTTTGTAGGGGGTGGTTCTGAGGTCTGTCAATCAGCATAATTGTCTTGAGGTTTATGCACGTAGTTTCTTGTGTCAATAATTTGTTCATTTTTATTGCTGGATAGTATCTTACTTGGACATTCCACAATTAATCCGTTTACCTGTTGATAGACATTTGGGTTGTTTTCCGTTTGGAGTTACTAGCAGTAAAGCTGCTGTGAACATTTGTGTACAAATCTGAGTATGGACATGTGCCTTTATATTTCTTGAGTAAATACTTAGAAGTAGGATGGCTGGGTCATATCGTAGGTATATGTTTAACTTTTAAGAAACTACCAACTGTCTTCCAAACTAGTTGTACCATTTTTACAGTCTTGAGAGTTCTAGTTGTTCCACATTCTCACCAACATATGATATGGCCAGTCTTTTTTTCTTTTCCTGGCTAGAACCGTTATTATTTCAGAAATAACCATCCAATGTAACTTGAGGTGGTTAGAATAGTTATTTCTGGATGACTGTAATAAATATTTGTCAAAACACCAAGTACCTCAATAATCATACACATTTCATTCATAAGAACTTCCAAAAGTTCTTATGTATCAAAAAAACTTACAAATGGCACAAGAGAATTAATGGTCTATAGAGGAGAGAAGGAAAATTATTCTAGGGGAAATTCTAACGAAGCATTTTCTCCATTGCTTTTTTTTTTTTTTTTTTTTGCGGCACGTGGGCCTCTCACTGTTGTGGCCTCTCCCGTTGCGGAGCACAGGCTCCGGACACGCAGGCTCAGTGGCCATGGCTCACGGGCCTAGCCGCTCCGCAGCATGGGATCTTCCCGGACCGGGGCACAAACCTGTGTCCCCTGCATCGGCAGGCGGACTCTCAACCACTGCGCCACGAGGGAAGCCCTCCATTGCATTTTTGATTAACATAGTTCATGAAGAAAGCCTTGCTTTGCCTTCCTTTAGTCTTTTTGTTTTTGGCCATTCTAGTGGTATGTATGGGTGTCTGTGTAGTGGGGTCTGTGTTTTTTAAATTTGCATTTTCTACATGACTAATGATGTTGGGATGCTTATTTGCCATTTGTATATCTTCTTTGGTGAAGTGGCCAACTTTTCTGCCCACTCTTTTAAAAAAAATAGTGATTTGGGGTGTTTTATCACTGAGTTTTAAGAATTTAAGGTTTTATACATTTTGTAACTACCTTTTTTCAGTTGGTGGCTTGCCTTTTCATTTAATTGTTTTGAAGAGCAACAGTTGTAAATTTTGATGAAGCCCGCCTTATAAATTTTTTCTTTATACTTCTCTATGTTTTGTGTCTTATTTGAGTTCTGCATCATTTCATTTCTTTGATTTTATTGAAAACTTAAATCTCAGATTCTCATTTTTTAGTCATTAGGGAAAAAAGCATAGGAGGTAATTATAAAGCTAGAGTTGTATCTACCTTGTATTTGTGTTTTGTTATACTTTAATAGCAAATTACTTATGATTCTAGTACTTTTTATTCTTTTTGGTTGATTTTTAAACTTGTCAAGGATTCAGGAAATTGCCACTCACTGGTCTAATTCCTTTGTTTTACGGGGTGAAGGAACTGAGGTTCATAAAGGTTACATGACTTTGCTAATTGTTTACAGTGTATGATTATTTTAAGGACAAACAATCTGAGGTCCTCTTAAATGCCATTTCACTGTTTGCTTCCCTGTGAGGAGCTGCTCTTTGTGTTACTGTTGATAAGATTTTACTGCATGCTGTAACATTAAAATAAATTTAGTTCCTTCATTTGTTGCTTCTTCATTGATCATTGTGATAAATATCCTCATTGAAAGCAATATTATTAAAATTAAGTAGGTTATCTTTCTGAGAGAATCTTAATTATCTTAAAATTTCACTAAGTTAAGATGTCAAATTTAACACTTTTGTTTTTTTAATTCTTTCCAAAGGTCTGTAAACAGATTTGGCTAGGATTATTTGATGATAGATCTTCAGCAATTCCAGACTTCAGGGATCCACAAAAAGTGAAAGAGTTCCTACAAGAAAAATATGAAAAGAAAAGATGGTGAGTGAATAGTTTGTATTTAGAGCAAAGCCTCCCCGAATCACATTAATTATGGGTAAGATTAGTATAACAGGAAGGAAGGAAGGAAATAAGTAGGTAGGTAGGTAGATAGGGAATAAGGAAATAGGTAGATACTCATTATACTTTGGCTTTTTATTGAATTTCGTTTCCACAGACCTTTACTTCTGCTTTATGTTAACTCATCTGTGCCTAGCAATAGCCTGTTTCTTATCACCAGGCCTCCTACCCTTTTTGGGGAAGTTAGGGATTCTTCCTTATAAACCGTCTCTATCCCCATTAGCTTCTTAGACATTTTAGTCTTATAAAGCCTCCTTTCTTAAAATCTTCCTTCACCTACCTAAGGAGACAAAAGACCTGTATGCAGAAAATTATAAGACCCTGATGAAAGAAATTAAAGATGATACAAATAGGTGGAGAGATATACCATGTTCTTGGATTGGAAGAATCAACATTGTGAAAATGACTCTACTACCCAAAGCAATCTACAGATTTAATGCAATCCCTATCAAACTACCACTGGCATTTTTCACAGAACTAGAACAAAAAATTTCACAATTTGTATGGAAACACAAAAGACCCCGAATAGCCAAAACAATCTTGAGAACGAAAAACGGAGCTGGAGGAATCAGGCTGCCTGACTTCAGACTATACTACAAAGCTACAGTAATCAAGACAGTATGGTACTGGCACAAAAACAGAAATATAGACCGATGGAACAGGATAGAAAGCCCAGAGATAAACCCACACACATATGGTCACCTATCTTTGATAAAGGAGGCAGGAATGTACAGTGGAGAAAGGACAGACTCTTCAATAAGTGGTGCTGGGAAAACTGGACAGGTACATGTAAAAGTATGAGATTAGAACACTCCCTAACACCATACACAAAAATAAGCTCAAAATGGATTAAAGACCTAAATGTAAGGCCAGAAACTATCAAACTCTTAGAGTAAAACATAGGCAGAACACTCTATGACATAAATCACAGCAAGATCCTTTTTGACCCACCTCCTAGAGAAATGGAAATAAAACCAAAAATAAACAAATGGGACCTAATGAAACTTCAAAGCTTTTGCACAGCAAAGGAAACCATAAACAAGACCAAAAGATGACCCTCAGAATGGAAGAAAATATTTGCAAATGAAGCAACTGACAGAGGATTCATCTCCAAAATTTACAAGCAGCTCATGCAGCTCAATAACAAAACAACAAACATCCCAATCCAAAAATGGGCAGAAGACCTAAATAGACATTTCTCCAAAGAAGTTATACAGACTGTCAACAAATACATGAAAGAATGGTCAACATCATTCATCATTAGAGAAATGCAAATCAAAACTATAATGAGATAGCATCTCATACCAGTCAGAATGGCTATCATCAAAAGACCTAGAAACAATAAATGCTGGAGAGGGTGTGGATAAAAGGGAATATTCTTGCACTGCTGGTGGGAATGTGAATTGGTACAGCCACTATGGAGAACAGTATGGAGGTTACAGCCACTATGGGGAACAGTCTGGAGGTTCCTTAAAAAACTAAAAATAGAACTACCGTATGACCCAGCAATCCCACTGCTGGGCATATACCCTGAGAAAACCATAATTCAAAAAGAGTCATGTATCAGAATGTTCATTGCAGCTCTATTTACAATAGCCAGGAGATGGAAACCACCTAAGTGTCCATCATCGGATGAATGGATAAAGATGTGGCACATATATACAATGGAACATTACTCAGCCATAAAAAAAACGAAATTGAGTTATTTGTAGTTAGGTGGATGGACCTAGAGCCAGAGTGAAGTAAGTCAGAAAGAGAAAGACAAATACCGTATGTTGACACATATATATGGAATCTAAGAAAAAAAAATGTCATGAAGAACCTAGGGGTAAGACAGGAATAAAGACACAGACCTACTAGAGAATGGACTTGAGGATATGGGGAGGGGGAAGGGTAAGCTGTGACAAAGCGAGAGAGAGGCATGGACATATATACACTACCAAACCTAAGGTAGATAGGTAGTGGGAAGCAGCCGCATAGCACAGGGAGTCAGCTTGGTGCTTTGTGACCGCCTGGAGGGGTGGGATAGGGAGGGTGGGAGGGAGGGAGATGCAACAGGGAAGAGATATGGGAACATATGTATATGTATAACTGATTCACTTTTGTTATAAAGCAGAAACTAACACACCATTGTAAAGCAATTATACTCCAATAAAGATGTAAAAAAAAAAAGTGGGAATGACTCCAGTGTATTTCAGTTGGCGAATGGGGAAAGATTGGTTGAAAAGGGACACAGGCACCATTCTGGGAATGACGGAAGTGCAGTGTACAGGGATACCTCATTTTACTGGGCTTCACTTTATTGTACTTCACAGATTTTTTTTTTTTTTACAAATTGCAGGTTGTGGCAGCCCTGCGCTGAGCAAGTCTCTTAGTGCTGTTTCTACAATAGCATTTGCTCACTTCATTTCTCTCTGTCACACTTTGGAAATTCTTCAGATATTTCAAACTTTTCCATTATTTGTATATCTGTCATGGTGTTTTGTAATCAGTGATCTTTGATTTAATATTGTAATTTTTGGGGGCACCACGAACTGCATCCATGTAAGAGAGCAAAATTAATCAATAAATGTGTATGTTCTGCCTGCTCCACTGGGCGGGGGGGAAATCTTCCTTCATTTAGCAAGTGTTTATTTACTATCTTTTATATACTAGGCACTATGCTAAAGCACTCGTGAAGCAATCTGTTCATTCACTTAATTGCATGTTGTAGTAATTCTTTGCTCAAAATATCACTCACTGCCCAACCGAGAAGTCATTTTACTCTACCTGTTTAAGAAGGAAGATTTTATACCTTTTTAACTAAATCTGTCAGATGTTAATTTTTAAAAACGAATTAAGACAGGCATGTTTTGGCTAGTAAGCCTTTTAAAGCAGAGCAGGGGGTATATTCATAGAACTAGTAGTGTTCAATTACTTTGAGCTCTTCATTTTTACCTGTATGAGTACAATTTAAATCAGTTTACTGAAACTCAGTGATGAATTCTTGGTTGTTTATTTATCAGTATTCAGTAGTGTATATTTTCCTTCTTGGGACGTTAAGAAGATGAGAGAGAGAGTCACAAATAGAAGGAATAGGTAATGAGGAAGTACATGGCCTCTTGTTTCCCTGAGGAGCTGTATTTGAACCCAGAGAATATCTTCAGGAGCTTGTTTTGGTTGAGGGAATACTTGCCATGGTTATGAGTGAGATATCTCTACCTACATTAAGCGAGCATAGTAGAAAGACGTTGGCTCTGATTTGTATTTTCTGTGAACTTTGTATTCTTACTGTTCCCTAGAGGAGACTAATTTTTGCCAGGGCTATATATTCAGCATTACGAGAAACATTAAGTATGAATAGAGAAGAAAACATATCAGTAAGATTTTAGTTCAGGAAAGAAAAAACTTAGAAGATGCGGTGATAGTAAAAACATGGTGCCATAAATGATTCTCTTAAAATGAAGTGTATAATTATCTTTTTATCATTTTAGTTCTTAATTTCTTAGACCTTTTCCTAGACCCTTTCCTGTAGTTAAGACATTTCTGCTTGATAGCCTTGGCCTAATTTTTGATTTTCCCAATAGTTTTACTTTTACCAGCTCAGAGTGAGTTTGAATAGGAGTTAGCTGGGATTTCAGATAGTTTAGCTTCAACTACTAAGAGAAAAGTGTGTGTGAATAAGGTTTATAGAATTAAAACCAGGAAACCCCCCCCACGTTAATAACAACAAAATAAAAATAATTCATTCAAACAGTAAGCAAATAATTGTAAACCTCAAATAATTATAATTTGTGTTATCTTTTCTGTCCTGAGAAACAGGATAGTTAATAAGAGAAATACAAATACAAACTTCAGTTTGTGGGTAGGGGAGAGGGAGTGACAACATTCAGCTAGGCTGGGACCTGTGCATTTTAAACTCACACTCCTGCATACCTGCATACCTATGACGTGTAACTGGAGTGGGGCAGTGGGTTTTTAACAGGACATAAGCACTATCCAAATGCACTCTCCTTAAAAAGCCTCACTGGGCAACTGCACTTAGAACATTGAGACTGTTGCTGTCATCTAAAGGGATTTTGAAATTGTTCTTTTAACCAGTTTTCAGACTCAATTCCTATGCTATACATGCTTAGCTGTTTTACTTTTAGTTAAGCAAGCCTTTGAGCCAAAGACTATTATCTGATTTTATCCTTTAATAAGACTTGGCCATACTCAGAAATTGGCGTTATCACTGATAGGCCAAATTATGGGAAAGTGTGACTTCCTGTTTTCTCCCATATACTGGAAAAAACAAAGCAGTTTTATTGTTCGTGATTATTATATAATTTGATAATAGCCAACACTTGTGTAGCTAACACCTGTACCAGAAAACTGTTCTATCAATGTTAACTTGTTTATACCTCATAACAGCCATGTGTCAGTGTTGCAGAAGAAAATTTGGATGCACAGAGAGTTGAAGTAGTTTGCCCTGCGTTTCATAGCTATCGAGTGATGGAGATAGTTAGGTCCATCCACCTAACTACTCAGGTTCTGGGGCAGAGCAGAAAAGCTCTGTTTCTCTACTTCTCCCACCTGTGTGATATGGGGAAGGAGGGCAGGTAGAACAAACCCCAGAAATACAGAGAGCAAAAGCTCTCGCATAATCCCAGCTCTGGAGATGAGCGTTGCCAATATTTGGGCATTATATTCTTACTACCTCTCTTTCCTTCCTTTACTCCCTTGATCCTGTGAATTCTTACATGACTGAGATCAAACGTGAAAGACCTGTAAAGTCTTACGGACATCTTTGCATGTCAAGACAGAGTAGCTGTGTATTATTCTATTATATAGATGTTAGTATAATCCTTTTAAGCATTTTTCTCCTGGTGGAGTTTGGTTTATTGTCCAATTTTTAAAATTTTAAGGAGTGCTGTGATAACCTACGTATACATTTATGTGTGTACAGTTAGTCAATTATTTCCTAAGGATAAGTTACTAGAAATGGTACTTCTGGGGCACAGAGTATACCTATTTATGTATTTTAATAGAGAGTAACACAGTTTGTAAAGTTTATACTCAGATCAAATGCGAATGTCATTTTAATTTACATTTCTTTTTGGTTACAAGTATTTTCATTTCTTTGTCTCCCTTGGTGAATTGGCTTCTGTCCATTTAAAAATTGGGTTGTTAATCTTATAGATTTGTAATAGACCTTTATATTTTGGGCTACTAACTGTAATATAATAAATGTTTCTCCTTCCTTCTCTGTTTTCAAACGTTATTTATGAGCATACGATACTTTGGTTTTTAAAAATTAGAGTTATTAACTATCATCATGATTAACTACGAGTCCTCTTTTCTTAAAAAAGCAGTTATTTAATATATTGTATTTATTAGAAAAACTGTAAGTAAATAATCGAAACAGTTTTGTGGTTAGTCTTTATTACCCTTTCTCTGAATATTTTAATTAAATGTAGTCTTAAGCTATCAGTTCTAAGATGGTTTTGAAATAAGATTAATATCGAAACAGTCTTGTACAAAATTAGAATTAAGCTTATCATTTTGAGCTTAGTGTTCCCTACATCTTCCTCAGTTAACTGCCTGTTTAACTTTTCATATGTTTTAGGTATGTCCCACCAGAACAAGCCAAAGTGGTGGCGTCAGTTCATGCATCTATTTCAGGGTCCTCTGCCAGTAGCACAAGCAGCACACCTGAGGTCAAACCACTGAAATCTCTTTTAGGAGATTCAGCACCAGCACTGCATTTAAATAAGGGCACACCTAGTCAGGTGAGTAGTTTTTAAGGCTTTGTAGAGGCTTCTACTTACAGAGGATTGAGTACCATGAATTTGGGAATTCATTAAGACAGTTGCATAACCTTGTATACCAGTAGCATTATGTCCTAATGGTTTATAATACATTAAAAGATACTTGGTTAAGTGGTTGGAATGTGTCTATGTTTGTTCTTTTTGCTATTGCGAATGCTATTGCGAATACGAGTTTGTAAAGCTGTACAGGAACATTGTTATAGCTATCTATCAACATATATGTATCATACGTATCATATAACATACAGTGGTAAAGCATGAATCTGTGGTGACCATCAGAGTTAGAACAGTATGGCCTCTGTGATATTCTTTTACAGGAAAGGATTTCTCAAGCATAGAATTTTTTCTCCATCCTGATTGTGAAGCATGTTTATCGTTGAAACGCAGGTGGCTTTGCATTACATAGCGTATTCTAAAAAACTGAAGTCTTTTCAGCAGTGGGTGTCTAGAGTTTATGCTTCTGTACTTCATGATAGTCAGCGAGCTGTGACAGATCTGTTACTGTGTGGCATTATAATGTCTGTCCTACACAAGAATGATTCTGAGGCATGGTACTATTTGAATTCCACCTTTTAAAATAATGCATATACTAGGGCATCTAGATAAGTTGCTCCACTTTCATCAAAGGTCTGAGTAGAAAATGAAGAGAAGGGTAAAGTCAGTATATTGTAACTCTTCCCATGGATAAAAGATTTGTTCTACGAAAGCCTTATCATCATACTGTCTTAGCAGTAAGTCTGTCTCGTGTCATGAGGTGTAACAACTGTTGTAATTATATTTCATTGCTTTTGACTCTGTACTTAACATTGAAAGGTAATATGGGAATAGATGTTGAAAATTTGTGCTTTTCAAAAAACATCAAAGAACTCAAAACTCTACAAATGGAAGATTATGTAAACTTTAAACTGTGTCTTAAGCTTGGTGAATTGGAAGTAGTGGTATAAAACTTCAGCAGATCTGACTGGAAGCTCTTTATAGTTAATATGTGGTTTATAGTCTCCTGTTGTAGGTCGCTCTCAAGGGCAGCAGCAGGAAAAGAAGCAGTTTGACCTTTTAAGTGATCTTGGCTCAGACATCTTTGCTGCTCCAGCACCTCAGTCAACAGCTACAGCCAATTTTGCAAACTTTGCACATTTCAACAGTCATGCAGGTAAGTTTTTTCCCAGCAGCTTTTGCCAGAGTGATTGAATAATCATCAAATTAAATGATGTACACTAATTTAAGAATTGATTTGGTCATTTTGAAGCAGTTTTATTTGATAATTTGAAACTTTGCTTTCTGTTTTTTGCGTGTATATATTTCACTTTTTTAAGCATAACTGAAGCCAGTCCTTACTGAATTGATTTCCTATTAGTACTCTGGGATTTATTTTACCTTCTTTTATTCATCTATGAAATTATGATGCTATCCCACTTATTTTTTTTCCTTTCAATTTCATGTCCTGGCTTATAGTTGGATAATAATGGTACAAAGTATGTCATGTATATATGCATCCAGAAATGTGCCCTTTGAGATAGTTTGGAAAATTATAGAAAACCTGCTCTTCAGCCACATTTCTTTCTATCAAGCATTGAAGGAATTTTTTGTTTTAAATACCAGTGGAAACATTTTCTAAGAATATGCTACAGAAGGAAGTTGTGATGTGATTTATGTATGTTTGTGTGTGTGTGTGTGTGTGTGTGTGTGTATGTGTGTGTTTTTGCTTTTCAAAAGGGATTCTAGGATGAGAATTTCTTTCAGGAGAGATTGTACTGAGACGGGTAAGAAATCGGGAGGCTCGCGCTGTTAGGGCTGTGGTACGTTTCCATCTGCTTTACCTTGGTTGAGTCCAGAAGTCCAGAAGGAGGCTGAGGAGACTCTTCCCTTCATACCCTAGGTGGGAAGCCAGTTCCCTCTCTGAGCAGACAGGAGCCCTAGCTTCTGTCCCCCCTCTTGCTTTTCGAATGGTGGCCAAAAGAGTTGGTGGAAGACTCAGTGAATAGAGAGTGAACCTTCTGTAATTTATGAGTATTCTGCATTTATCTCAGTTTTAGGTTTATGGAAATGTAATTTGAAATGATGGAAAAGTAACTGCCAAACTCTTTTGTAAATTTTCAGCTTATTTCATGACTTATTTCATGTTTCCCTTGTGTGTGTGTATGTGTGTTTTTGTGCTTTAGTCTCTAAACGCAATTTGTGAATATTTGCAAGTCAGGGAATTGATGTTACACTTTTCTGTGTAATCATATTAGCCAAAAATAGACAAGACAGTGCAGCTCCACAGACTAATTTTACTGTGATTACCTTCATACTTTTAATAACTCCCTTAAAATGCTTTTTGAAAATAATTGTCATTATTTAATTGTAGAAAATGTTAAAAGAGAGAGAAGTGTATGATTTTATCAGATTGATAGAAGATAGTAAATCTTAACTATTTTGTCTCTTTTCCACGTATGGCAGAAATGGTAGGGCAGATGTGTCTGTGAGGAAGTAGTTGAATAACCATGTAGGTTAGGTCAGGTTGCCTGAGAGTAATAGTTCTTTAGCCTGAAGTTCTTCTGTATTTACAGATGACTACTCAGATCACTCTTTTCTTACTTCATTTGATTGATCCCAGGAGCATAAAATATATATGGATATTGCAAGAACAAGCTAATAAAATTACTCATTTATTTTCCCCTCAAGTATAGTTGATGCCATCTTTCACATTTTACCTTAAGTAAGTTTTAAATTGGTGTCACGGTTCAATCTGAAATGTCTTTTTCCAGAGCCTTTGCAAGCACTCTGAATTTTTACTTTTCCATACATGGTTCATAGATACAGTCATTTGATAGCTGAGTTTTTGCTCTGAACTTATCATTTAAAAAAAAAATACATTAGGTGAAAATTTTTTCCTGAACACATTGATGTGACAAATGGAACTTTTAATAGCAAACAGTAATTATTCAGATACGCCAATCTGGCCGGCACTGTTTTAAAGGGAAAACTGTTCTTTTGCAGATAGTTCAGTGGGTTAAAAGCCAGAAGTCTTTACCCTTCTTTATTTGAACATTCTGGCTGAGTTGGTGTGTGTGTGGATATGTGTCGGTGGTGGGGTCAGTATTATGTTCAGGAAAAGTCATCTTCTACAGAAATACGCATGCAGTTAGAAACATAATTTACTACAGCATGTAATAGTTATTTTACTTGGTAATAAACGTATCACAAAACCTGTGAACTGTAAACTGTAATTGATTTTGACCACACCTTATATGAGGGATGTCAAACTCAATTGCCTTGCCACCCAATTAACACAAATGAATAATATAATGCAGTGCCCCTTTCAAAGGGGGATGGTCTATAATCTCCTGTTGCCACATGAAAATACAGGCTCAGGATCACTAAATACACCGATTTTCTTTTAAGAGAAGTATGAAAACTTGTTATGTAATGTGAAATGCTCTCTTTTTAAATGCTAGGAATTAATGAAAATAAACTATCATATAGGTGAAACAAAGTCTGTTTGTCAGCTGAATTTGATGAGGGTTGCCTGTTTCCATCCTCTGGTCTCTACATTTTTTTTTTTCCTTTCTCATGAGTATCTGTTGCTCACCGAAGAGTAAAGACAACTCTTGGCAAGATTCAGGCTCATTAACTTGGTGCCTTAAATTCTAAATTCTGAGTTGACTCCTTTGTACTTTTTGAATAAGACTCTGTAAAAAGCATCTTTATTATTTTGTCACATTCTTTTTAGTTTGGATTTCTTTATGTAGAGATTGTTTGAGGTTCCAGATAGTAATTTTTGTTTATTGAATTTATTAGTGTTTAATTTCCAAAGTTGTGGTTATCAGTTTCATTCCGCAGCACTTTACAAATTTAAAAAGTTACTATAATCAGTTGTTGAAGACAGTAGATTCAGTGTCTACAAATAAAAACGGATAGAAGTATTACAAAACCCTGTCTTGCTATAGTGAATAGGTATTTGATGAGTGTGTTTGGTGCTCTGGTTGGAAATCATTGGGAAAATATAAATGTGATAAAATAGGCTTGCCCAACAAAATGGATTGCATTGAACTGATTTTTTTTTTTTTAAGAAGATGTTGGGGGTAGGAGTTTATTAATTAATTAATTTTTGCTGTGTTGGGTCTTCGTTTCTGCACGAGGGCTTTCTCTAGTTGTGGCAAGCGGGGGCCACTCTTCATCGCGGTGCGCGGGCCCTCTCAGTATCGCGGCCTCTCTTGTTGCGGAGCACAGGCTCCAGACGCGCAGGCTCAGTAGTTGTGGCTCACGGGCCCAGTTGCTCCGTGGCATGTGGGATCCTCCCAGACCAGGGCTCGAACCCCTGTCCCCTGCATCAGCAGGCAGATTCTCAACCACTGCGCCGCCAGGGAACCCCGTGATGAACTGATTTTTTCCCCCTGATGTTGTTTGAAACATGTTAAGTGTAAAATTTTCCCATATGATGTTCTAAATACAAGTTAAATGTAGAATATGTATTATTATAGGCTACATATATGTTCGAGTTTATAAGCCACAAACTAGCTTAGGGACCCAGTTCTTGTTTCTACAAGGGACAGATGTTTCATTTGTTGTTCTCAACTGTACAGCTAAGTGTTCAAAAAACTTGGAAACTTGCGTTTTGGAATATAATCCACTCTAAATTTGAGAATTTCCTATATCGTGTTCTCTATTCATTTGGTTTATAGTTATATTATCTATTAATTACCTATTTTGGCCTTAATAAACTTATTTTGTCTTTTAGTAGAATTTTCTTCTCTTTGGCTTAGTATTTCAAAGCTCTTAAGAAATTTATTTCTGTTGTTTCATAAGTTGTAGAATTATAGTGTTTGTTGGTTTTGCTAGTAGAGACCATCTAGCAAATCTTCTCATTTTGTTAGTGAGAATACTGGTAGAGCCAGAACAGTTGAGGGACTTGTCCAGTGGTTTACAGTTACTTATGTTAGGATGGAGTTCCCTGATTCTTATCTTAGATTCTCTTTTCACTAAACTGTACTTTTTTACTAGTGTTCTCAGCAATGCTAAATGGTAACTATTTAAACTTATATTTAAACTGGTATAGATATTCCTTTCAAAATATTTTTTAGGAAATTAATTTTTTAAATTTATTATTTATCTATTAGTATTTCTTCCATTATATTTCTTTTGGGGAAAGTAAAATTTCAGCCTGTAAAAAAGTTGAATTTTATCATATTAAGTAAAAACAGACAAAATATTGTAGGGAGTCCAGAATACAGAATTTATATTGTTAAGCAATAAGCAGCCTTTTAATTTAGGTTCTAGTGTGTAGTGCTTAAGGGCCAGGTCAGATGTGTTTCAAAAAGGTTTTCAAGAACGCAGTGTGAGCAGTGACATGTGGGGATAGCACTCCACTTGTCAGAAGTGGTAGGTGCGAAGACACTAGAAGGGAAGTGGCACAGGTGTGTAGGAAAAGGGGGTTACTCTAGGTACGTTCCTCCCCCGCCCCCGTCATATCCATTTAGATAGATAAAACAGCAAGTACATGAAATACTGTTAAGTTTTCCTGATTTTCTTCCTAGAATAATGTTTTACTTTGTTAATGGAAAATTTTTTTGCTTAGTGACTTCTTTTGGTTTGTTTACAAGTAGAGTACATATTCATTGAAAAAGCTTAGCGAACTCAGGCAAACAAAGAAGGAAATGATACCTACCTGAAATCTCACTACTTTGATTTAACTAAAATGCAGATTTTCTATGCACATGATGCCATGTTTAATGAAATTAGCAGATGAAAATGTATCTGGAATTTCTTAACCTATTTATCTTACTTACTTAGCTGTAAGTATTTTTGTATAGGGCTAAATATTCTTTTACATGAATTTTTTAAATGGCTGCATTATATTCCATTGTATGATGTTCCATAATATATTTAAGTGATCTCTCGTCGGCCATTTGAGTTTCTCAATTTTTCATTATTATAAAAAACACATTGTTTAGCTGTTAGATTCAGCCATGCTCATTTGCAATATTATCTCTTTACAAAAACTACCTAGAAGTAGAATTGCCTGCAGAGGGTTTAAGTGGCTCGCTCACTTTGTTGGTGACATACAATCTTTCTCCATCTTTTGGACATGCTTTTCGTTCTTACCACTTAGCATTCCCTTTCCTGCATACCAACCACTTCTTATTCTTATCTTATCCTCTATAAAAATCTTACCCAGCATCTGTTCTGGCCTTAAAAAAAAGTCTTTTGAGTTATTTCGTTTTACTTACATATTTTAACTTTAGGGAAGCCTGGAGTTTTGCTCTTAGGTTGGTGACCAGTTGGGAAATACCAGTTGGTCTTTTTCACTGGGTATGAGGTGCATTTATGCTATGATTTTTACGTTTTTATCATTTCTTAAGTTTTAATATGTTTTTTAAAATGGCAGCCTCCTAATAAAATATGAGTATCTTCAATGTATTTGGTGATCATGTCCTTCTTTTTATACACTCGAGTTTTCTTTTTTTAAATATGCTATGGTGTGACATCGTTGTAAACTCAAAAAGCAACCAAAAGATTTAATGTAATTAAACCATCTTTGTATCATTATTTTAGATTCACATAACTGATGAATCACTTATCACTATTTTAAATATGAATTTTCCAAATGTATCCTGTATCCTGCATCTCTATCTGCTTTACTGTAACTAAATATTTAGTGCTCTTAATTCAGAGTTTCCTTTAATAGAGGCACTTTACAGTACTATTCCTGAGGTCACTTAAAGGCTATTGTGTACAAATTTATCATTGTACAAAGCATTTTTGGAAATTCCTGGATACCCTTTAATAAATTGCTTGAAGTTGGGTGAAATAAACACTGGTAGAATTTAAAATCTGATTTCTTTAAAGTAAGTTGTGAGACATAGAAACTTTAATAAAATTCTTAAATTCATTTATCATATTTTTCATTTATAATTTTCATATTCATTAACATATATTGTTCCTTACCATTTACAGCTCAGAATTCTGCAAATGCAGATTTTGCAAACTTTGATGCATTTGGACAGTCTAGTGGTTCGAGTAATTTTGGAGGTTTCCCCACAGCAAGCCACTCTTCTTTTCAGCCCCAATCTACAGGTAGAGCTCTCCAGCATTATGCTTAAATGTTTACTTCAAAAAATAAAAAACTTTCTAGAGGTAGTTTTGGAAAATTACTCTAAACTTAAATTCTGTGATTATCTGGTTCTAAAATAGTTCTGTCTTACAAAGCTCTGGGGAAACCTGAAATCTTTATATTTTTCTTTGTTCGTTTTTCTGAATGCTAGTATTTTGTCTAATTCACATCTATTCTCCTTTTCCTGCACATGAATCTTCCTTAAATTTCTTAGGCACAGAGGTATTTAAAGTACTAAAAGTTTTTTAGGTTCACAAAACACATTACGACTTAAGCTCTGAATAAAGGAAGCTAGTTGATTGCTTCCATAGAACTGAAAACGTTAAGTAATTTTCAGGGCAACAAGCTTCAGAAAATAAATATTATTAGTTGAGTAGATTATTTAACAGTCACTTTAATAAACTTTAAATAGTTTTCTGTGCAGGAATTGGTCTTTAAAAATTGAATACTCTCCCATAAACTGTATTGTTTTCAGAAACTCATTGAATCTTTGTTTAGATCTTTGGCTGATTATTTTTCGTTCAGCTTTTAACTCTGTATTGTCTTAAAGCCTTTTCTTTCAATTTTCTTTCTTTTTTTCTTTTTCTTTAAATTTCATCATTTACATAATATCTGGCTGTCCAGCATTTAGAATGCTTTCATCTAGCTGCAGTTTTGGTGAATTTACTTCAGCTTTTCCTCTCCAGGCTTCCAACAGTAAGTTCTGTTGTCACGTAGGCATCTTTTACTAATTTGTATGTTTTGTGCTATATTTTTTAGGTTTTTCAATTATAGAATGTTAATCATCTTTTAACGATAATCCTTCAGAAATTCTCACTTTTACTCTCTCCACTATTGCTAAACTTAGAGAACACAGTAGTATACCATAACAGAGTTAGTTGATTTAATAATTCAGTTTTTATTAATTTGAAATAAATTTCTTCATACAGATTTTGAAAGCTCAGTATGTACTTTGTTCATCAGCTCCTTGTAACAGATCAGTCTTTTAAATACAAATGTTACTTAGTTTTAATTGAAAACAACTAGAGTTTAATTCCTGAAAGAAATATATTTGTTTTAGAATGCATAAAAAACTGATTGATGGAAAGTGTTTGTGGTTTTTTAAAAAAATAGGGTGTAACCTTTGTTTCTGAAATACCTATAAGTGTGCTTTGCTCTCACTTTAATGTATAAATATCTGTATCTATATCTACTATCTTGATTGCTGAGACTAATGTTTAGGCATAAAGAATCAACATCAAAAGTGTAGCACCAACAGTGTAGAATGAATATATACTGGTTTTAGTATTTTAGTAGTTCCTTAGGGAGTTCTCTAGAATACAGAACAGCCTTTAAAATCTTAGCAGGATAAAGTTGATGTAATAATTTTTTCCTTGAGCTATATATTAGGGCATAATTTTACTGAAGACATTGTGGTGGTGTGTGTACATTAAATTATTATGTGGAATTAAGTAACAGCTCTTCAAGTAAAATAAGTCTAAAGCTCAAAAACCGCCTTTTAAGAAATTTGGATCAAAGTAGTACATTGTAAACATTTTAAATCTCTACTCTGGGATTTGTTTCAACGAGGTCTCTGTTGGAACTACAAAACTTCTGTAGTGTAAGATATTTTGAATCTTGCCTACAGAGTTTGTTTAGGGAGAATTGGTAAAAGGTCATAGTTTACATAGCTGAATGTTCTATGAAGTAACTGAGTTTCAAATTAGGTAGCATGGAGACACTCTCCTGTGAATTATTTTCTTCATTCCAGGGTAGAAAATTACACACAGAAACTTGTTGCCCTGTATGTTGCCAGGGCCTTTGAAAATCTAGCTTTGTAAATTATGGAAAGTCACGTGTAGATAGTTAAAGTTGAATGCCATTTGCCAGTTTTTAATTTTAAGAATTTAGGATTGTTTATAGAACACTTAATTTAGGAAGAAATGATCATATAATCTTTATCAAAGGTTACTGGGAAAAATCTAGCAATTTCAAGTTTTCTGTCTGTTCTGTTACAGGTGGAAGTGCTGGATCAGTAAATGCTAATTTTGCTCATTTTGATAACTTCCCCAAATCCTCCAGTGCTGATTTTGGAACCTTCAGTACTTCCCAGAGTCATCAAACAGCATCAGCTGTTAGTAAAGTTTCAGCGAACAAAGCTGGTCTACAGACTACAGACAAATATGCGGCACTTGCTAATTTAGACAATATCTTCAGTGCCGGGCAAGGTATCAACCTTTAAACAAACGAATACAAATTTGTATATTAAACAGTCCTCTAAATTTGGTTGTATTTATTAAAATCTGAGGATGTGCTTTTCTTAGTTGTATAGATGTTTAGTTTACACTAAATGTTCATGACTATTTGGCACATTTTGGATCTGAAATAACTACACAATGGAAGGCCTAGAAACTAATTTGTAAACGTCTAGATTTAAAAGAAAATAATTGACAAAAATTTAATTTTTTCTTAGAAAGCATGCTTTATTCTAAGGCCATAAAGGGCCAAGAAATACTATTAATAGAGATGACTAGAGGATTATTTGGTAGGTTCTGTGATATATTTGTTTTGAACTATGTTCTATTAATATTTTTGTATTTATTTAAAGAAACAAGATACTTACAGTGTATTTTTATACCTAGTTTTGGTCTTAAGGCTAGTATTTTTGCCTCTCAAAGTGCGTAGTGTAGTGGGGGAACAGCAGGGGTCTACTTTCAGACTGGATTCTGCATCCTGATCTCTGAGTCTGATTTCTCATCTACCCTCCGAAACGAGGGCAATAGTAATAGCATTGAACTTAAAAAGTTGTATTATATGTGTTATTGCATGGGAGGCATTTAGAACAGTGCCTGGCACATCGTAAGTGCTCTGTGAATGTTTTCTCTTACTATCTAATTTTTTCATGAACAACCCTGGGAAAATGATATTATTAATAGACTCTTCACATAGTTCAAGCATTTTATGAGTGTATATGTTCACTTGAATGAGATGTCCCCGTCTTGCAGATTTAATGTAGCACTTAGAGAATTTCTTCTTTATGTGTAATCTAGACATGTTATTGGTATTGGGTCTTAGTTTTTGTTACAGAAACAGTATGTTGTCTTTATCAGAGTGGTATGTATAGCACTAATCTTGTCCAATATTTTCTGGATTATTTATTGGATAAGACTCTAGAATCATGTCCATTTATTTGCTAAGCTCCAGATCGGTTTTAAATTTACATGTGTTTCGTGGCAAATGTGGTTGTAAGTTGAAAGCATAAAGTTAAGCATCAGGTAAAATTTTTGATGTAGTATGTTTTTGTTTGTTCACAGGTGGTGATCAGGGTAGTGGGTTTGGGACCACAGGTAAAGCTCCTGTTGGTTCTGTGGTTTCAGTTCCCAGTCAGTCAAGTGCATCTTCAGACAAGTATGCAGCCCTGGCAGAACTGGACAGCGTTTTCAGCTCCGCGGCCACCTCCAGTAACGCATATTCTTCCACAAGTAATGCTAGCAGGTAGCTTGTCTTAGTCTGTGTTTCTGCTTTGGGTTGTATCTTTTAAACTTTTTTTCAACTCTGAATAATAATGCTGTTAAGTAATGACCACTTGGGGCTTAAAGATTCCTGAATATTTTTGTAAGTTTGAGGAAACTGTGTTTAAATTTTCTAATTAAAATATAATCCTTGAGTTAAGTGCCATAGTTTTATTTTTTTATTTAATCGAAGGCTTTGTTCCTTTTTTCCTTGAACAGTAAAATGTAATTTAGAGTATATACACATCTTGAAATGGGTAGTCATATACAAATTTAATTGTACTCAGCAGAGAATCCATTTACAGAATTATTTGCTTTTAATGTACAGTTCTCAGTCATGAAGATTAAACACTTAAAGTAGCATGTTATAGCCTTAGTTGTAAATAAGCAGTTTTAGAAATGTTTGCACCAGAACCCAAGACCAATTCTTTATCTCTTTTGTCATACTGGTATTTATAAACAGACATATCTGTTACTGTGTTCAGATATATCGGGTGTAAGAAATTCTTGGCAGCAGAAAGTCTACTGCATTTTAACAGTGTTCGGTCTTTAAAAACTCTTCTGGTTTTGACTTTTTCATCTTTGGGTCAAGGAAACAGACCTAGAAGTACAGGTGACTTACCTGAACAGTGTCTGGTCTTTAAAAACTCTTCTAGTTTTGACTTTTTCATCTTTGGGTCAAGGAAACAGACCTAGAAGTACAGGTGACTTACCTGTACAGTGTCTTACCCATCTCTTAGTTTTCCATTCCTACAGATTGTCTCTTCTTTTTTGTTATCCGAGTAGCTTTTTATTTCCCTTTAGCACCTTTTCCAGAGAGAAATGGTAGGATTGTAACATTAACTAGTTGGGCTCACTCTTCAGTAACAAATTTTCTGTATGGCAGATGGGAAAAATTGAATCCAAAGAATAAAATTTAGAGTATTTATATATTTTTTGCTTTATTAATGTTGTCTACATTACACATATATAATAGTGGACTATAGCAAGGTGGTTGTAAAGTCTGGAAACATAGACAGGTATATGTAATGAAATGGTTTATTGGTATTACATTATAATCATAAGTGGTCCCCAGAGTTTAACCCATGGAATGTTTGAAGTACCTGAGACCCATTCAAAAGGTCTGAGGGGTTATTTGTGTTTTCAGTAATTGACATTTGTTTTGATGGTGCAAAAACTATGACAGGTAAAACTTGCTGGTGCCTTAGCATTGATTTACAGCTTTGGCACCAAGCCGTACAAATAGTCATCTAATAGCCATTATATTCCTTACCACCACACATTCAGTTTTACTTAGGAATATTTTTGATGCAGTTTTTACTATGAATATGCTGTATGAAGCAGTAAAGGAATTTAAGTCTTGACATTTAAATATGTCTTCTTAATTTTCTGTGGTTGAAGTAAGGTATGCATCACGTAGTTCTGCTATATACTGAAGTATAAAGCTGTCTTGAGTAAAATCAGTTTGTGTGGTTGTTTGAGTTGTGGAATGAACCAGCCACTTGTTTTATGGAACACCATTTTTTCTTGAAAGTATGATTGATAGACAAACTATGGTTATTCAGATTTCGATATTTGGTAGACGTTTTCTCAAAAATGAAATTTTAAGTCTGTCACTTTAAGGAAAATAACTACTTAAAATACATACTCTCAAGCAAATAGTAGAATTTTGGAAAATTTAAGGGCCACCGTGGGCTTAAAATTAAGCTTCCCATTACTTTTCTGATGAGATGGATGGTGATATTAATGATTGTAATTTTTTTTATTTTGCATAGGGAAATATGTTGACATATTGAAGATTTGCATCAACTATTTTCCAAATGATATAAAGTTAGTAAAAGATTCATTTAAAGTGTAAGATAGACTAGTGGATGTTACTTTACATAAATGTCCATTGATATGGTTTCAAATTCCATATTGCAACTAACCTTTAGGAAACTATCCCTGGTGTTTTTTTGTATGATGTCAAGGAAAATATCCACAGTTATCTGGAAAAGATGTTAAAATTCTCCTGTTTTGTTCAACTGTGTTACCATGTGAGGCCAGTTTTTCTTCATATGCGTCAACCTAAACGTATCACAAGAGATTGATCATATATTAAGCCAGCCATTAAAGAGATTTGTAAAAATATCAAACAGTGTTACTCTTCACATTAGGTTCCTTTTGTTTTAGAAAATATAGTTACTTATGAAAATGCTACTTAGGTTAGCATGTAATGGCTTTATTGTTATTTTTAAATGAATAAAATTATTTAAATTTGTTTTAATTGATGTACAATATATATTGGTAAATATAGCAACTTAAAGTTCTTTGGGGTTCTCAATAATTTTTTAGAATGTGAATGAGTTCTGAGACTTAAAGTTTGAGAACTGATGTGATACATGATATGTTCCATATTATTTGTTTCCATATTTTATGGCAACCTTGTAGATAGATTACCGTTGCTTTTTTCCCCCCTCAAAACATGAACTCTTTCAATACTTGTTTTCAGTAATGTTTTTGGAACAGTGCCAGTGGGTGCTTCTGCACAGACACAGCCTGCTTCTTCAAGTGTGCCTGCTCCATTTGGAGGTACGTGTTTCTGGTATATATATACTGGTTTTTATAAAGAACCCTAATATATATTGTATCGCATTTTCTTAGGGATACCAGAAGGCAATCAAAGCACCAGTTTATTATCAGAAAGCTCTAGTTTTCTATCTTCATAAATATATGAACAAATACTTTAAATAATTGTATACAAATGCGTTAGGATTTTATAGTGTATTTTATAATTTTTTAAAGCTACACCTTCCACAAATCCATTTGTTGCTGCTGCTGGTCCTTCTGTGGCATCTTCTACAAATCCATTTCAGACCAATTCCAGAGGAGCAACAGGTAAGAAATAAATATAAATTATAGAACAGTAAGCTTTGGAAAAGGTATATATTGCAAAGACACCATGTGAAGAGCATCAGAAAATAAGGTTCCTTTCTTACTGAAGTGACTGTAAAGTGGATTAGTTTTGTCCGTAAAGCCATATAGTAGCTGAAAGTTTATAAAATCCTTCAATTTAATATTTGAAAATGGACCAGAGAAGTTATCTAGCATCCACCACTCAAAGCTTTCGTTTTTCAGGTGTGGAAGCTCAAGCATGGAGATGAGACTTAAAGCCTTAAAGCCCACAGCCAATATATGGCAGAGATGGTACTTGAACATTGTAATTCTGACTTATTTGTTGGTCCGGTTTCACAATTATTGGTTATAACTCAATCTTAGTAGAAAAAAATGTGTAAGTTTTTTTGCTTTTTTCCTTTTCATGGGATTGCAAGGAATAGATGGGTATTATTACATGAGATCTTAATAATGAGGTCTTTTTGTAGTACATATTTCTTTTAGGTGTTCACATTTTTTTAGGTTGTGGGAAAGTGGTTTAATTTGTGGTATAACATTTGAATATTTTCTCTTCTGATAATTTTTAAAAAATCCTCTTTATCGATCCCCCTTTTTTTGGTTCACAGTGTAAGCCAGCTACATATTTCTTGTATTGTACCTCTTTGATTTTTGTCTTATTACCCTGAACACCAGAGTTATTTGCCAGTACCTTGGAATATTAGCAAGTGCATGTGGTATGGCCCAATACCCATTAAACTGAATTTGTCAGTTCTGTTTTTAGATTTAGATAATTTTACAACTAAAGCTTTGAACTTCAGTTATAGCCTTTGTTGATGTGATATTTTGAGAGATTAAGGTGTTTGTAACATCACAATAAATTTGCACCATTAAGAATTGGTAATTACTAGCATATCTTTTTGTCATTGGCAAGGTTTGAGAATATGTGATATTGGGAGTTTGAACCATAACTTTCCTTTTCATATAAATGTCTTCAGTCATAATCTGTTGATATCTCACACAGTAGATGTTTAATAACTATTTGAATTTTGCACATAATTTGATTTTTAAAAATTGTTTATTTTAATTCAAATATACATAATCGGTGATTGTTTCAAATTTCTGTTGTGTTTTGGACAGAATATTTATACATCACTTGTGATATATGTAATATTTCTGTTTCTAAGCATATTATTTTGACTTGGTGGAATGAATTTATAAAATGTCTCATGACACAGGGTTTTCTACATTTCCTCATTTAGTCCTCTTAACTGTCATCAAATAAATGTTTTAATCACTCTGACAGCTGAGGTAACTGAGGCTCAGAAAAGTTAAGTGCGTATGTTTTGGGTACAGCCAGATTTGTGTTCAAATCCTGATTTAGATTTACTTGCTAGGTAATCCTAAAAATGCTTTCTGTATATTATTTTTTTAATGAATGGAGGAAAAGTGATAGGAAGATATATTATTTGCAAGATACCGTTGAGATGTTTATAGCTATTATAACCCCATTTGACAACTGAAGGATGGAAACTCAAGTTATACCTTGACCAAGGTTATGTTGATGTAACTCCTCAGAACCTTATTGTTGTCCTTTTCTGTAAAATGTGAACACTATTCTCTGGCAGGGATGTTGTGAGAATCAGATGATGTAAATCACCATGCATGGTCTTTGCATTATTGTGTATACTTGGTAAATCATTCCTATTATTTTCCTTTCATGACTGTACCTCCAGACTGGTTCTGTTATTAGAGCTAAGGGCCCACCCCCCCGCCCCAATTATTTGGAGTATGAAAGTCCTTTAAAGTTAAGGGATATGAAATAATATATAGTGTACAAAGTATGTTCAGATGATATAATTTTAATATTAGCCTAAGCAAGATTTATTGAAAGGTAAACCTACTGTGTCCACAAATTTTTATTTCAAGGTAAAAAATTTTTTCCCCTTATAAACCATTTTGATTTATCACATTGATCATCTTTACTAGGTTATTATTGAATTGACTAAGTCAAAGTAAATGTTCACTATATAACATGTTTCTGCTGAAGCTGAACTATAAATAACACTTTGACAAATACACTGTGCTTAGGTATTTCCATACCATCAAAATTAATATTCTTTAGAAATATTTTGTGTTCTTAAATATATAGTATTGTTAAATTCCATTTGAGGTAGCTTTTGAAAGACGGTATTGATAATAGTTCAATGTGAACTATTTAAAAAGTTTTACTGATGTATTTCATTCTTAAAATGCACATTTTAGTAATAACTTTTTTCCTGCATTTACAAAGCTTTTGGGCTTTCTTTTACCATGTTATATAGAAACCTTCAGTAGACTAGCCAATGTGGCCTAAGACCTTTTTTATTTTAGGATTCTATAATATTTAGCATTCTTTTTCCAGAGCACTTGAGCCCTTAAATCTAATTAATAAAGTTAATATAATTTTCAGTTATTAGGAAATTCTCTTATAACTCTTAAATCTCTTCTTTGTCCCTGAATGAATACCTTTATTTTCTAACATTCATTTAATGAAAAAATGATTTTAAAAGATTCCCCCCGCCCCCCCCCCCCACCACCACCACCTTAAGGGTCCAGAATTAATGACTAATCTAGTGTTAGTACCCGGAGTGCTTCTAAACCAGCACTGTTTCCACTGGTTCCGCTCATTCCACTCATAGGAAAGTAAATGAAACATATATCCACACAAAAACTTGTATACAAATGTTCACAGCAGCATTATTCCTAATAGCCAAGAAGTGGAAACAACCCAGGTGTCCATCCACTGATGGATGAATAAACCAAATGTGCTATAGCCGTACAGTGGAATTTGTTTGGTAATAAAAAGTAATGACGTGTACTGATACATGGTACAACATGGATGAACCTAGAAAACGTTAGGCTAAATAAAGGAAGTTAGTCACAGAGTGACATATAATTATGATTCCATTTATAATCTGTCCAGAATGGGCAAATCTATAGAAAGTAGGTGGGGCAAAATGGAGAGCTGATAGGTATGGAATTTCTTTTAGTGAGAGGGGTATGAAATGTTCTAAAATTAGATTGTGATGATGGTTGTACACCTGATGAATATGTTAAAAAAGAACACTGAATTCTACCTTTTAAGTGGACAAATTGTATGATATGTGAATTATATATCAAAAAGCTTGTTAAAACAAGTCTAAAATATTTTTATAGCAGCCCAGGACTAGGCATCATTGTTGCAGATTAAACAGAAATTAATACTGGTTAACAATCACTGTTGACTAAAAGTCAGTTTTTGCCAAAGCCTATTTTGTAGAACATGTGTCCTGAGATGGTGTTATCAGTGCTTCATGGAAAGGGATTCTACGCCCAAATATATATGGGAAATACTGAGTTAAACAAAATTTAACCAGTATTATTAATGCAGGATTTCTCGGAGCTTATAAAGTGCTCTAAGAAAGGAGATAAAGTGACCAAACTTGTTTCAGAACCCTTCCCCCTCAGTCAGCCTTCTGTTGAATTTAGAACACGCTGTAAACATCTTTTTAAGTTAGCAAGAAAAAATAACACTCCTTGGATATTTACCCTGTAGCACTTTTAATCACAGCAGTTTTGTAAAGTAGATACGTATTATACTATCCCTGTCCCTCCACCCCTTTTGCAAATGAGGAAACTGAGGCTTAAAGAAGTTGTGGTATCCTGTAATTAGAAAACTACAGAACCAAGACAGAACCACTCTAATCTCTCAATCGCCTTGTTTCCCCAAATTTAGTTGGTGTTAAGTATGTTAATTTAAAATGCATGGCCATATATTTTAGAAACAACCCCACTCCAGATGGTTAAAACAGCGGTTCTGGTACTTAACAACCTAAATTTGTTTTCTGTTAATTACATTTATTTATGTGTAACCTGTCTGACCTCAGTCATGCCAGGTAAGATCTGCACAAGATGTATTTTTCTTTTCTCTCTCTTTTTAGCCATCATATTTTAAACTGAAAGTGCTGCTCACCTTTCTAATGAACTACATTGAATAATTTTCCCTGCGTAATATTTAATTAGTTCACTTGAGTTATCATTAGGCTTTTCTAGTTAATGTATAGAGTCATAAATAAAACAGTCAAACATTATTCAAGTGCTTTCTCCAAGATTTGAGTTTTATTTTATTTTTTATTTTTTTAGATTTGAATTTTTAGATGCTAAAGGTAGATGCTAGATCATTTTAGATGATCCTATGAATAGCATTTTTGGGTGTAAGTGGTGAGGCCTAGAAAGTCTTTTTATGGATATTATTGTATCTTCACATGAAAAAAATGTTATTTGTTTAAAAGATGGATTTCATAAATGTTTCTTCATTTGATATTTTGTTTTTCTGGTATTCTAATCTCCCCTTTATTTCAAACAGTGTAAATACTACTGTCATGAATATAGTTGAAATAAAAAGACTCTGTTGGATATGTCTTTATTATGTATTCTTATGCTACCTACTTTGTAACAGTATATTCTAATTTTAGAACATTTTGATGAAACAAATTTACTTTTATTTTGCCAGTAGTTATTCATAAGTTAATTGACATTGGTCTCTTTATGGCTTTCCATAAGGCCTTTCTGGAGCAATGCATTCTCAAGTGTTTCCTCACGCTCATTTTGGTAGGTGGCCACAAGTAATATCTAGATTTGTGTGGCAATTTGTCTACCTGCTTGTGGAAGCTTCTGCTGGTGTTCTGGATCCCTGCATGTGGAATTAAGTTTTTTTCCATGTTTTAAAATGGAGTGGTCATGGATGTGTGGCATTGGGAATACATTATATTTAAAGTTACATGAAAATCTTCTGTGGCGTTTTAATACTGAAAAGCATATTGCTTACCTCCATGGTAACATTAGAATGTTAATAGCTTTCTCAATTATTTTTCTTAAGTTTGAATTCATAGTACTTTGAGTGACACACCTTTTCGATGCACCAAACCATTTTACCACATTATTCCATGGAGTTTGGTTTTGCTTAACTGTATCCAACTTTTGCTTTATACTGCTTTCTTAAAAAGTGATTTGTCAAAGTTATGTCAGTGCATTGTTGTCTGTCCTGAAACCCTCCTGTTTCCCTTGCAGTGTGCTTATTATTCTTTAATTCACTTGCTTCTCAGTGGCTTAGTTCCCCTTTTTTCTTGTCAGTAATAAAAAGTAATATTTAAAATTGGAAAATCTAATTAGGTTCATTGCGGAGAATTACACTGTTGTAAAAATTAGGATTATGAGAATTACTTGGGGCAACATCCATAACATGATTTTTAGTTTTTTTTTTAATAAAAGATAATTCTGTGTAGCACTTTTAGTATTAATTTCTTGTGCCTTAAATCAGCAATCAAGTTGGTAATTTTTTCTTAATATCAGGAAATTCAGTGAATTATGTTTTTTTGATAGCATCATGCTGAAAATATTTCAGTATGTAATTACTAGTGTTCTGTATTAAAAGCACCATTATTGGCTCTTATTTCACTTAGGCTTTTCCTACAACATATAGTTGGAAAGTTCCATTTTGAGTCTTCACTAGCGAAAAGTAATATACTGTTCTGCTACTATGTGTGTTTATATGAATAATATAATAATATGATAATGTAATAATGTGAATTAATTTATAAGTAATTCATAAATGGGGGGAGTGATGGCAGCATACCATGTATATATATAGCTGTAGTTCACACACGCATTTCCCCAACTTGTGAATGAATGCTTTATTCCATCAAGTTATAGTGGCTGGACATGGCAAGCCATGGAGAAGTTATTGGACACAGTGTCATTCACCTTACATTCTTCGTCTCTTGTAAGAAAGCTTATTTCACTTTCTGTTCAATTTTTATGTACTCTGCCCCAGTTTCTATAACTCTTCAGTCCTAACCTAACCTTCCTTATACCCCTTGTCCAAAGTAGTGTTCATTTACTTTCCAAAAAAGGAATGGGAGTCCATATGTTTTCAGTTTAATTGTGTTAGTGTTTTTATTAGGACCGCCCCCCGCCCCACCTCTTTTTTTGCCTTGGGTTAGAAAGCTGCATAGGTTTTGAGTGGCCTGCCTGTGACCCCATTTCTCCTGTAAGTTTTATTTATAGTGAATTATTTTGCAGGGTTTTAAATGTTTTTCCAGGAACACATATATTACATTATAGCAGACAATTCACTGGATACAATTAAATGTTTGACTATTTTACTGCATATAGCAAAACAAAACTTAAAAATGTATATACGAGTATACATGTGAATTGCATGATGATGGACTTTAAAAAGTAGACTGCTGTTTAGACTCAAACTGTATATAATTACTCTGAGAAGTTTTCTTGTGATTTCAAATGATAGCTTTATTAGTTTCATTCTGGTCATTGGTTTCAGGAGAACAAATATAGATTATGTTAAACTGGAGCTAAAACTTACTATTAAGTTTGTTGGGAGTTTTGGAATTTAAAATACATCATACTGTTTTTAAGGTAAATGATGTCTGTTTCATAACGTTGAGTATGCATATACGAAAACCTACCCTTCGTAAGTGACCAGCCTTTCTTTTCTCCTGCCAGCGGCGACCTTCGGCACGGCATCCATGAGCATGCCTGCGGGGTTTGGGACTCCCACGCCCTACAGTCTTCCCACCAGCTTTAGTGGCAGCTTTCAGCAGCCTGCCTTCCCAGCCCAAGCAGCTTTCCCTCAGCAGACAGCCTTTTCTCAACAGCCCAATGGTAAGATCTAACATTTGGCTAGCTGTAGGTCCACTGCAGGTATCCTTTATGTATCATAATACGAATGTTTGGACAAAAAGACTTACCTAGAGAATGCTGTAGCATTGTCTGCTGAATGTTTACTACACAAATATAGAAGCCTTTGGTGATTTGGGCCACAGAAAATTGAGTGATTTTGTAGTTTTTGTGATCAGATTATAGGTTTAGGAGAAATCAGGGACTAAAGAGTACCTCTTCTTTCTCAGAATCTCCAGTGTCTTTCTTATATCTTCTGTGTTATTAATATGCCTCTTGATTTTAAAAGGAAACTTTATAGACCTAGAGTGTTTTTGTTTATTTTGCATTGGAGAACTGTTTTTGTTCCATTTTGTGTACGTTTTTTTGTTGTTGTTTTGGGGGTTTTTTGGTGACATAAACTCATTTTATAAATAGGTGACTGTTGTGGTTGGAGTTTGTTACTTGTTTTCAGGAAAATTCACTAGAGACCAGTTTTTGTTTTTGGGGTTATTTATGTTTTTGTTTTTGTTTGGTTGGGGGGGAGCCCATTTCACTCATTTGCTAAAGTTTGAAATACCTGGATCACAGCCCCTCTCAAATAGGCACAAGCTTATCTCTTCATTAAATCCTGTGTCAGCAATTTACGTAGCTGAGACAAACTGGAATTAACCATTTCTGGAGAGTCAGTGTCAGTTCTTTAAGACATGCCAGTGGAAGTTTAACTGCTATTTGAAAGAGCATGAGACTCAACAGTTTAACATTGATTTTTTTATTATTGTTGCTCTGGTAGGAATTTTTCTGAAACTCATTATGAAGCTTTATAAGCATCAGATTGTCTCAAAGGTATGGTTATAATTGGTGGGTTTTTTTAAACAAGGTGCAGGTTTTGCAGCATTTGGACAAACAAAGCCAGTGGTAACCCCTTTTGGTCAAGTTGCAGCTGCTGGAGTGTCTAGTAATCCTTTTATGGTAAGTGAGATGCAATTTTAAGCACTTTCTAAGTTGTTGCATTGTTTTCAAATTGGGAAAAGTAGGATGTGATTCCTCCTAGATGTTCTTTGGTATTCTGCAAGATTATACAAATCCGAGGCAGCCATTGTGCACGATCCCTTTTTAAGAAAACACATTAAAGGGGGGAAGTGGCGGGCTGGGGGTGTGGTGTGATGAATTGGTTGGGAGATTGGGATCGACATGTACACACTAATATGTATAAAATGGATAACTAATAAGAACCTGCTGTATAAAAAAATAAAATTCAAAAAAATACCCCAGAAAACACATGAATCAGTTGCAAATCAAAGCACTGACAGTTAGTAAGCTATTTTAGACATGAAACTTGTCTGCTTTCTTGTCACAATAATGCTTTATGAGAGGCTATAGATTTAGCAAACAATGTGAAAAAGGAATCCTGGAGTCAGGTTTGGTTTGAATCATAAATGCATTTTTTTAGGGCCAGGTCTCTTCTTAGAATCTATTATGAGAATTATATGAAATAATGGATATAAATAGGCACAACACAGTGCCTGATAACCTATCGCTTTATTACAGTATATTGCTAATAACAATAATGAATAAATATGATTGCCAATAATTATGAAATAATTCCTAATCTAAATACTATTTAATTAAATCTAGTTTAATTAAATAACATTAAATATTTTCATATTTTCTCCACACACTCTTATTTATTTATTTTGTCTTATGTTTTCCTTTAGACTGGTGCACCGACAGGACAATTTCCAACAGGAAGCTCATCAACCAATCCTTTCTTATAGCCTTATATAGACACTTTACTGGAACGAACTTTTACATGGTCACATTACATCTCTCCGCCTCTTGCACTGTTGTCTTGTTTCACTGATTTTAGCTTTAAACACAAGAGAAGTCTTTAAAAAGCCTGCATTGTGTATTAAACACCAGGAAATATGTGCAAAACAGAGGGCTCCAGTAACAACTTTTAACCTGTGAATTGGCAAAAAAAAGTAGCGGTATCATGTATATTAAAAATTGGCTAATATTAAGTTATTGCAGATACCACATTCATTATGCTGCAGTACTGTACATATTTTTCTTAGAAATTAGCTATTTGTGCATATCAGTATTTGTAACTTTAACACATTGTTATGTGAGAAATGTTACTGGGGAAATAGATCAGCCACTTTTAAGGTGCTGTCATATATCTTGGAATGAATGACCTAAAATCACTTTAACCATTGCTTCTGGAAAGTTACAGAGTCGGAATTGGAAGGTTTTATTCATTCTTGAATTTTTCCTTTCTAAAGAGCTCTTCTATTTATACATGCCTAAATTCTTTAAAAATGTAGAGGGATACCTGTCTGCATAATAAAGCTGATCATGTTTTGCTACAGTTTGCAGGTGAAAAAAAAATAAATACTAGAAAATATGCTATTGTTTTTGTGTTCTTGCTGCAATGCCTTTACCAAAGTGGCCTTAAATATCAGTAGTGAATTGAGAACATCTTGAATTCTTAAATTAGAATTTCAGAAGACTTCTAGTGACTAACTTTTATGTCTAAAAGAGAAAATTTTATAAAAAGGCCATGTAGAAAATTTATTAAAACTGCTATGTTCAGGAATGTGTCAGTGGTAAAGCATTTAAATGTAGCTTGTTAGATTCACCGTAATCCTTCTGATTTCTTTGCAACTTCTTAATTTTGTGAAAATTTGTATATATGAAGAATTTGCATGTATGTGTATTTACAAAGTTTTTAAAGTATCTTGAATTCTCAGACTGCAAAAGGCTTATTTTAACTATTGATTTTTTTTTTTTTTTTTTTAAATACTGTCTTTGAATGTATTGGAAGCAGACATGCATTAACTGTGACATGATTGCACCTCAGTTTTCTTTGTTTGGACAAACTGATATTAATAGGACATTTGTTTATGTTAATTTCTAGGGGGAAAGAAACTGGAACCCAGTGTTACCTTAAAGTTATAGAATACTTTGTTTAAAAAGGCAACAATACTAATGTTTAGTTATAGCTTTATGTTAATATTCAAATGAACTTGTTTAAATATTTATATAATGCCTCATTCATCCAGTGATAATCTGGCAATCTCATCAAAACAGAACACAACTGTAATAGTTTTTTTTAAAAATGCCTTTGAGCAGCCCATGTAAGTCACAATGTCTATACGTTAGAGCTCATGCATTTGTCTTTATGTGAAGTTTTGATTAATAAATTTCCCAGACCAAAAGAGCATATATTGTCAAAGACCAGTTAGTGTAGGGACAGCCAGCCCAGCTTAGAGGGCATCAGTATATTACATCTTCTTCTGATAATTGTCTATTACTGTGACTCTGTGTCATCAAGAAAAGGTGAGGTTACGTATATAAATATGTGATACACGTTTGAAAAATTTTCGTATAATGATTTAAATTGGTTTTAAAGCTTGGTATTAAAAGAGGTGAACATCAGTTTCCTCAAACATTATTTATTCATGTTGAATACCTTTTCGAATGGTGACTACAGGAGTTGTTTTCATACTATATTAAAATCTGTGTAGAGTTCCAGACTTCTTGAAACATTGCTGTCCAGCTCATATCTAGCTGAATGTATGGTTATCTGAACTAATTTGATAAGCAAGAAAATTGGGAAATCTCTGCCCCTTTTCTGAGCAGTATGCCTCTTAGAATTAAATGAATGCTGCAAAGGTCTGGGTGTGTCTTGGTGTATACTTGAAATGTCTGCATTTTTGGGGTGTCCTTCCAGACGCCTTCTCATGGAGGGAATTCTTAAGAAATGTCTTTGAATTCCTATGTTTTAGATTGTATTGGGTCCCAATCAACTCATGTACAAAGTTATGCTATAAAATTGTAGGCCATTATTCAATTAACCTACCAGGCTTTCCATCTAAGAAACAAGTAAATTAAACAGTTGTTAATAAAATAATTTTAAAGACTATTTTTTTCTGGGTAAATCTTGAGGTTTGTAATTAAGTGGGAACTCTTGTTGACTTTAAATGAAAACTTGTGAAATTGAAATGCTTAGTGTAAGAAGTGATCCAGATTTGATGTGGATTGAAATCTTCAGTTAGACTTGCATATTCAGATTTGCTTCTGGTTTTGCACAGACCATCAGAATTGTGTTCAGCATTGAAGAGGAGAAAATACTCAGAGGTGGCAAGGATGAAGACTCGAGTTTCCTGATTGACTAGTTGAATCAGGTCTTCTCTCCTGTGTTTGCTGAGGAAAGAAAATTTTCTTTTCTTTTAGGGTGACAAACTTCATTGATAAGTTTAAAGGCATATTTTCCTCTCATTTTTGTGAAAATAGAGATTAGGTAATCACTTTCTTCTGTCGAATAATTCTCTCTGTAAATGTGAAGAAGCACATCGGTGCTTTCTTTACCTGTGACTTGCCCTGCTCCCAGTACACGTCCTCGTTGCTACAGTTCCTGTCAGTTGGTAAAATGGAAGCAGTGACTAACTGGCTGCTTTCCTGTCACAGTACCAAGACTTCTGAAACAGTTTGGTCTCAGGACTATTATTAACTCTTAAGGTATTGAAGATCCCCAAAGAGCTTTTGTTTACATAACTTATATCGCTCAGAATTTGTTGTATTAGAAATTAGTACTGAGATATTTTAAAAACATGTTTTTCATTTAAATATAATGGTAATAAACCCATTACATGTTAACATAAATACCCTTTTTGATGACAAATTACTGTTTTCCACAAATGTTATTTAGAAGACCATTGTTTTACATTTTGCACATCTCTTTAATATCTGGCCTAACAGAAGCAGTGGGGTTCTCATACTACTTCTGCATGACAGTTCTTTTTATGTGACATGGCATGTGGGCACTGGAAAACTCCACTGTGCACTTGGAACCATGAGTGAAACAGACATAAAACATTTTAGTATTCTGAAAATAGTTTTGACCTTGTGTTTTGGGGGGACCCGCAAGGGTCCTGAGACCACACTACACTTTACATTTATATTTTCTGGAACAACAGTGTTTAGTTTCAGGGTAAATATACTACTCCCTGAACTTCTAAGTGTTTTTGTTGGCTTGGTGGGAAGAATTGAAATTTCATTTGAAATTGTAAACTTTTTAAACACTGTTTTCTGGGTTTTCTTTTTTATTTGACTGTATTTCAGTAATGATGAAATTAGTGAATAGCTCCTTTTTAAAAAGGATATTACAAGTTCTGACTCCTGGTTATGAGTGTTTATTTAGGAACTGTTTACTATCTGACCACTTTGAAATTGTTTGTTTTGGGGGAGTATCAAATAGCTATTTAAAAATTAAAACACCTTGCTAAAGAAAGTTCAAAACGAAGAATAATTTCTTCTCTCTCCTATACTTATAGTTAACAAAGAATTTTAGCTTTGTTTGTGTGTGTGTGTGTGTGTGTATAATGAAAGTTGGATTTCTCTAACAGAAATCACTACCCTCCAGGAAGTCGGCTACAATTAAAGGAATGTGTTTACTTCTTAAGAAGGAGGTTTGCTATGGTTTTCTCCCCCAGTGTTTTTTTTTATACCTTGTCCATTTTTAGAGAGAGCACTTGTTGCTTCTCATTGAAACAGAATGTTTTAAAATTCTTTTGAAGACAGAGGGACTTCGTAAAAGGTAACTTACAGTACATAGTCACCACAGAAAGCTCTGGCTCTGTTGCTGCTGCTGCTGGCACACACCGCAGAACACGCCGCTGTCCCCAGGCCGGCCTGTGCCTTCCCTCTGGGGCCTCCTTGTCCATACATTTGTGCTCCTCTGCTGAGCTCATGTTCAGAATGACTCACCTCATGTTCAGAATGACTCACCTCATGTTTGGCCTCCACTTGTAGTCTCAGACTTACATCAGAAAATTAATCTCTAGGGGAGTTTATAAAGATATATTTCTTCAAAAATAATGACTTGAAAAGAACCTGGTGGTGGTATTACAGAGCGTGGCTTATTAAGCTCTTTCAGTGTATCAGAAACTTGCTAAATGCTTTTCGTGTATTATCTCATACAGTCCTTAAAGTGGACTCATACTTTAAGGATGAAAGAAGCAAGGCACAGGCTAATGACAGAGCTTTTGCTCTGGGGAGCAGATATTATACTGTTGGATTAAAATGTTGTCTACATTTATGTGTAAGTCGATTTTTTACAAAATCTTAGGAAATTCTGAGAGAATTTCTTTCTATATCCTATATACCTAATTAAACTTAATCATTTTTAATTTGGGTTCTCTTCATAATTTGCTGAAATCAGTACAGTTTATTCTCTAGGGTTTTATTTAAACTTTACAAGTAAATTAATGGGATAATTAGTGGATCAGGTTTTAAACTAAAGAGACATCTGAAGTATCACAGGGACTCCTATTTTGTGAAACATTGAAACTTTATTGATAAAGTCTGTGCCCTAGACAGTAAAATTTACGTTTGAAAGGATGCTGTTACTAACATTTGTGTTACATTAGCCTGTTGTATTGAATTTATCTTCATTAGTTAAAATTTTTTCTTTGTATATTTTAAAACGTCATTCATTAAAATTTTTATGTAGTATATTTGAACAAATGAAAATATGACCAAGATGTACTGGTCATATATTGTGCTGGTGAATGCTTTTCTCTTATGAAAAAGTGCCCTGTTTTGTAGTGTTTACTGACATTTGTGGTTATAAATACTCTCACCATGGCTGATTTCACCTTCCAATCTGATATAATTAAATTTGGCGTTAGAAAGAGACACTCACCAGTCTTTCTTTGCAGGCCAGCTCCAGCACACAGCACTGATGTGTAATCCCACAACCCAGTTCATTAAATATACTGGTTATTTGGTGATTGTATCCAGTATTTGAAGAACCTTTTGTTTTATGTTGTTAATCCAGAAAATATTTGAACACTAGTTTACTTCTAGAAGTGTACTGGGCCCTGAAGTATTTAATCTGGAAAGACCCAAGTATTGTGAATTCTGGTTTTATAAAGTCCAGTTATTGTGCTAATGTAGAGGTTGCACATTCATGGCATATACTCTGAATCCTGTCTGCAGTTGTGTTTTGTTTGGCCATCACAGTGTTTTAAAAACTCCGATTTTATATAGTTTGAAGGGTATTCACACTCTCAAGGTGGCCACTAGCCTACCACTCAACAGTGTTCTGAGCCTCAAACGTTCAAACATGTTTTAAGGCCTTTGAATTGGCAAATCCTGAGTAGACATAAAAGGGCTCTTCTTAAGCCACCTCTTAGCTGTTCCAATTTTGGAGTCCTGTAGGATTTGAATTTATGATGATAGTTT